ACTCCCAACACAACACGCTGCCACAGAAATAAAAGGGTGCACCAGCAAAGGAGCCTGGGCCCTAGGTCGCCCTGTGCTCTGCTGTCCTCTTCACCGAACCGAAGCGGGTGATAATTGTGTCAAAAACAAAAGCGGGTGATAATGTTGCCGTGTTACCACATAAACAGTGACGAAGCATGCTTAACACAATAATTTTATGGTTTATTCACCAACAAAATGCTTCGAAATCGCTTGTATTGTTTACAAATTGCTCAAATGGAGAGGTCGCTATGGCCCCTTTTCACCTCAATGAAGCTCCTCCAGCACACATGAACATGCAAGGTACTCATATAAATTCTTATGCGATCATCCAATCAAAATTCTAAAAAGAACAGTGGATCGGAACTGATCCCCTTTGCCAAGCCAGGGCCTATGCATCAAACAAAATCACGCCCCAAGAGAATCACGCTCCAGCAACCATGAAATATACTGTACTATGTTCGTTTCTTATTTGTGTATCTTCTCATAAAATATTTATGTAGAAGAAGTTATTTATTATAAATCATATATAATATTAGTAGGTGCTAATCACTACAAGTAACTTGTTAATCCGTGACGAATTCTTGCCCTTGTGATGGATTTACAAATCGTCACTGACAGACGCAATCCGTCGATAATTTATTTTTCGTCATGGTTGTGCACCAGTGGATATTCCCGGCCCGCTAACTTATGACGATTTTATTCGGATCGTCACAGTGTATGATTTTAAATTCATCATACTCTAGTTAGCCCAAAACAATAGGCCCGCTATCAATATTTAGTGCAAAGAAAAAAAAAGTGATTGCAAAGAGAATCAAACCCAAAAGACGATTTGTTAAATTATTTGAACAAATAACTTTGTTAGTATATGATACATATGGCAAAACTAAAAATATTCTTCATATATATATATATATGGTGCGGATGGGAACAAAAAAATATGCAGGGTTTTGAACCCAACGCCTGTAGTAGCAACATGTCTTACCATTTGAGCTACATGTTCAATGTGCCTAAATCTCATACAACTAAAAAGAACAAAACTAGAACAATTGAATGGTGCGACAATTGTTCAGGTTGTCACTCCGCCCGACGTGCGATCCCGCGAGGGGAAGCCGTGATACGTCGCGGGACCGACTGCACTCGAGCCTGATCAGATAAGGAAGGCAACATACGCTCGCTCCATGCGATCAGCTCAATCCCCATAACGGCCGCAGCAAATCAGAAAGGCAAAAATTAATTCCCATAACAATCGTGATCAATTTCACGATCACCCCACGCCGCCAATCACGCGAGACTACGACCTCACCTGCACCGCGACCTCCCTAGCACTCTGCACTCGCACAGCACCGCGACCTCACCTCTTCGTGATTGGCCCTTGCGCCACCTTCGCCATCGCACACGCCGTCCGCCGATCAACGCCATCGTTCAATTGCAGCTTGTCCCCGTCCTGCCCCGTACCAGCCCCATCTAATGCCCCGTCCTGCCCGAGCCTCGACACCGCTCGAGCACCCGTCGCCTCGCCGCCCTGCCCGCTGACGCCGGCGTACCCTGTCACGACGCCGAGCTAGCGACGAGCACCCACCAGATACGTCACCAGGACCCTATATCCCCATCTATCTTCCCTTCCTGTTGTGCAAAACGGAACACCTAAACCCAAAATCCTAACAGCAGCACATGGCCCAAGACGACCACGGCTAATCCTAGCATAAGCACACGGGCGACGACAACCAGCGGAGCCATCGCCGAATCGCCCCGCTCGAGTCTCCGTGGCGCCGCACCCTCCCCACTGAAGCCTCAGGTCTCCACCGCCGCTGACACACGCCAGGCACGCGGAATCAGGACGCCGCTCCGACGTGTGTTGCAACAGATCGCTGATATCGCCACCTGCAGTCCGCGGAGCCTGCAACAGATCAACGATCATGGCGAGCGGCCGAGCTCCTTAGCATGAACCACCAGCCCACCACTACCAGCTGGGCAGCACAAGCATCACGCCCGCGAACTCCTACGCCGCACCGCCATTGCCAGGCGTGAGCTCGCTCTGGCGAACAGCCAGTCCCGGGCTTGCTCCTCCACACTTGGTAAGCCGCAGGTGAGCTTCCCCGCACCCCTGCGCTCCTTCTTCACGCACGCGCGTGCGCACAAGGCACACTGCGCAACCGTAAGCTCGCGTTGCTGGGAAATGGTCGCCGAGCACCGGTCGTGATCTGTTTCGTGCTCTGCTTTGCACGAGCATTCCTAGCTTGTTAGCTTGATGACATCAGGATGACATGTACATGCTTTCTTTATGTTTTCCTTTAGAAGAATAAAAGAGGAAATACACTGAATATACAAGGACCCATACCCTTCAGCATGGACTTGGTCCATGGTGGACCGCTCACACGCCACACCGCCGGTCCATGGTTCATGGACCCAGTCCGCAGCATAGTCAATGCGCGCTTTGCAAACTAGCCTCTCTGTTTCTGTTGAATCCAGTCACTATTCCCTGTCTCTTGGAAAACTCACTAGCTACCCTGCCATCTCCGGTTAATCCGAGAAATAGACCCTGCCAGACATACATACACCTTAGTTTGCAGGTATAGATGGGTCTTTGTTTTTAGAAGCAACTTGTTTTGGTTCATGACCTGTGAAATTTGTGGTGACAATGTGATGTCCTGTTCTGCATCCTGTATCCTGCTGCAAATTTTACAAATGAATCAGAAAAATTGCTTCTAAGAAATCAACTTATGTGTCCGCTTTCAGGCAGCTCTTGAGTACAATACATTGAAAAAATATAATAGTATTATGAAGCATCACATGGACATGAGATTTTATGTAAGCACATTTTTATAATTACTATCAAAATTGCCCGTGCGTTGCAACGGGGTTAATAAAAAACATATACTAATTTTCATTCGACTTAAGATTTAGGTATAAAAGAAATAATTATTTATGTCAAAAGATCGAATTTTGTTTGGTGTGTGAACACCCATGGCAGTTGTGGTTCGTCTCCTCCACCTCATCGACCTCCTCAAACACCGCTACTATCTCCTCTAGCTCGCCTATGCAGGGCACGGCGTCTTGCGCAGAGGTGCCTCATTGCATTTGCGTCAGAAACAAGCATTGATAGGAACGAAGATCAAAATTCCATGGCTTGAAGGCCATGGCGGCGAGGCGACCGCGTGGTGTTCACGGAGTGTGATGCCATGGAGCGGCGGTGTAGAGCCAAGCTCGACAATTGGGGGTCCAATCTCTGCAAGCTCAGTGGTCTTGCTATATGTGAAGCATCCCGTTAGGGCCAGCGCCCACGATGAGGCTCTATCTAGGACATTGCTCGTCAGCGGTGGATTAGGCACGGTGCTAGCCTTCCGACCACGCCTCACCCTGTCCTAGATCACACATTTTACGCTGAAAGCAACAACGTACTGGCGTGGTGGGAGTGCACACTTCAGAAGGTATGGGGGAAGCGCGTTGGCGGCAAGACCAAGCGTATGGCCGAGCCATACAGATACACAAGTTTTGTAAGTGGCTAATGCGGCATCATGCAGGCTACCTATAGGAGTATTAAGTCGGCTTGCATCACTATTTGCAGGGAGATAGACTTGTCACATGTGATGGTGTGGGCTTGAGTGCTTTGTGTTCCTACATTGTATTTTATTTGGACAATTTTTCTTTTAAACTTTAACACAGTCAACATGTGTCCATTATACATGAATTTTTTTACCATAGATTCTACACATCAATAGAAGATTAGCATAAAAATTCACTGCAAAAGGACTAAAGAAACATCCTCTATCAGTTTACATGTTTGCTATTTTGCTAGAAGAAAACGAAAAAAGGGGCTAGGCTACGGCTCGGCCCAATCTACTGGCGCAAAAGGCACACGTGGCAGAGTCGAGCCCAGCAGGAGGCCCAACGTGGGTTGAACTTTTACATCAGAAATCCCTGAGTTTCTCGAATTCAATTTAGATCCTTCCACCTTTTTTTCCTCTTGCACTTTTCCACCTGGAACCCTTTCCTTCTCTTTTATTTCTTTTTCTCATCCTCTTTCCCAAAACAGCGTCCAACCTGACGCAGATCCGTTCAGGTGGAGAACAAATCAGACATGGAGTCTGGATGAAAATTTACATGTGACAAAAATTTTGTCTCTTTATTATTAGGTATAGATTAATGTGCTATTTTATATTATCTTATTTTTTGTTCTTATAATTATATAAAGTAGGCCAAGCTATACTAATCATGACTCTCTATATCCTTCTCTTTCAGAAAATGTGTGCTTTAATAAAAATACCAGAATTTCGGAAAAGATACTCTACAAAAGAAATGGCTGCTGCGATTGGTGTTTGTGAGAATATATAATACAACTTACAACAGTACAGATACGTCAGTCGCTTGCTCCTACTTTTATTACTTGTTTCCTATATATTATTCTAATCGCTATCATGTTTACAGTTTCTTTTGCCATGGCTACACGTTCGAAAATATATGCTTTACAGTAGAGTTGTTAGCCTACGACGCCGCGCTTTACTGTTAATTTCACAAATTTTGTTTTTTAGATTAAATATCATTTTAACTTTGTTATTTTATTTCGTATATTTTTAATATAAAATATTAACTATCCCGTAACAACGCACGGACACGCTAGCGAACCCAGGGGACCAGCGAGTTAAAACCAACCCAGCTAACAACCGCTCTAGTTGTTCGTGTCCGTAGATGTAGAATTCTATTTCTCTTTTGTTCTTATGTATAGAGTAAGTTTTCCTCAAATCAGCTCACGGACTCAGACAGCCAGCCGCGACCATTCACGGACCAGAGACACCGCCGCCGACGGCGAGATTAGGCAGGAGCCGTGTGTTGCCGCTGCCCACCACCGCCGCTGGGCCGCCCGAAAGAACGCCGCCTCCGCCACCATCATCACGCTGCACACCAGCGACATCGCGCCGCCTCCAACCCCATCCAGTAGCTCAAGAAGGCACCGCCGCCCTCCATTGCCGCACCAACAAGAGATGCCGAGTGCGGCCATGCGTCCACCGGTGACAAATCCAACTATTGAGCGGACTCCTACAACCTCGAGCATGACTCAAATCATCAATCGCCGAGCACACCTGCCCTCCATGCTCAAGAGATCCCCATCCGCCTCACTCCAACACCGCCACGCTGCCCAAGGTATATCTCTTCTATTTATTTATTTTTGTTGATTTTGTTGGATGTAGCATTTGAATTGGTGCAGTTTGCTCAATGTGGTCTATCTGCAATGTTTGATTAGATGGATAGAAGTTGGGTGCATAGCACACTATTTTCCCTAAATACATTGATGGTGTGAAAGAATTTATGAGTTTCATTCAGGGAAATTCAATGAAAATGTTGAAATTCTATGCCCCTCAGAAAGATGCCTTAATCAAGTACCTAAATCGATCTCATTGTGAAGAAGCATATATCTTGATGAATGGCATGGAAACTACTTATACTCGGTGGATTCATCATGGAGAGAGCTTAGATGTCAATGTTATTTAGCATCCTATTGATATGCATGAGGATGATGATGGTTCCACACATGGGGTAGGTGTGATGAGAGGATGACAACTATGGTGATCGTTTGGAAGGAATTTTAGGAGACCCACTGATCGCAATGACACAAGCAAGACCGGATGTAGAAAATCAAGTTGGTACTTCAAGAACCTCGTGATAAAGAGTAATTTTTTTTAAAATTGTCATGAGAGAGGCAAAGCGTCAACTTTATCCCGGCTGTAAGGTTCTCATTTGTGGTAAGGCTTTCGCATATGAAGTCATTATATAGGATCAAGCAATTCGCTTTTTACGCACACATGAAGCTATTGGTCAAGCTTTCCTGTAATTCAATACACTCCCAAAATCATATGATGAAGCAAAGAGTATTCTAAAGGAACTAGGTCTTAGATATGAATCAATACATGTGTGCTACAATAATTGTGTCTTTGTTCAGAAAAGCAATATGCCAAGCTTGACAATTGCCCGGTTTGTGGTCTCACGAGATGGAAAGATGCGGAAAGAAAGAAGATTCCACAAAAGGTGTTGCGACATTTTCCATTAGCACCTAGGCTAAAGAGGATATTTTCGACCAAAGAAGCATCAAGCGGCACAATGGCACAAGTTAAAGCGGCAGCCCATTGAGAAGAAAAAATGAGCCACCCCGGTGATGGTGAGGCATGGCAAGATTTCGGACCGTGAATATCCAGATTTTGCAAAGGATGCAAGAAACCTTAGACTTGGCCTAGCTAATGATGGGTTCAATCCTTTTTCGTAAAAAGAACACAAAATATAGCATGTGGCCTATGCTTGTTGTGCTATACAACCTAGCACCGTGGGAATGCATGGAGGAGTCAAACTTCATGATGGCTTTGCTTATTCCAGGTCCGAAATCACCAGGGAAGGACTTTGATGTATTTTTAGAGCCTCTTGTGGAGGATTTACTTGAGCTTTGGACAGGTGTCGATACTTATGATGCTATTATTACTGGCAAATCATTTGTGTGCCACCTCCATCGCAAGCTAACGAGACCTATTATTTGGAGAACTCGTTGACAACTTAGATGACCACACACAGGCTGCTATTGAAGGCCAGTTCTACTGCCATATTACTTGGTTTCATTTCATAACCATTAGTCAGCTATGAAAAATGTTTAACCTGCTGTTTTTTTCGACATCACATTTGTACAGCACATAGCCTTTTCCTTTTTGTACCTTGTTTACTAGGTAACAGGATGAACTCACTCTTAATTGCTGCCATTATTTTTAGGTGATATCTCTGCCCTACTTGACAACACTCACATGACCATGGGGCTGATGCAATTTACTGGCCTAATCAGCATAGCCGTATGGACGATGGAGGTGATGGTTTCTTAGTGTCATTTCATAAGTTCTGTTTGTATGATGGATGCATTCTTACTGGCTGCCCTTTTTAGATGGCTTCACCCATCATGATGACAACACCCTCGTGGCTGACGTAGCTGATGGCATTACCCAACATGGTGACCACAACCAGATTACCAACGAAGGTGATAGTTTGTTCATCTGTTTTCCATATTCCATATTGCCTCAGTGGATCAATGTTTGTATGCAAAGCTTTAAATTCATGATCAGCTTGGATCAATGTGTGCTTCACCTCACTAATTTTAATTTCAATGTACATTTCCAACTAGGGGGAGAGGAGAGAAGGGACCGGGTACATAATATGGGACGTGGTCTCCAAAGGTTAAACCGAGCGTACCGTGGCAAGCTGCAAGTTGTCATAACTAAAGGGAATATAAGGCCAGTGGTTCCTCTTATTGCTGCAAAGTTTGCAACTGAATGCAACATCATAGTTAGGAACCATGTGCCTATACTCACGCACCGGAAGCTATACAAGAAAGAACCTGAATCTGCGTTCGTTGATCTATTCATAGGAAAACTAAAGGTACATATATTCTCCAGTCCTTCCCACATTTAGTCTCAATATGAGAACCATTGTTTGTAAACTGTTTTATGCCATAAATTACTGAATTGATATTCTTTTTTATACATGTTCTTCCATTCGGTTAGGCCAAGTTTGACATAAACACAGAGGATGTGACAGTTAAAAAGGCTTGTCGTGAGATGATGAAGTCTGCAGTTCGCCAACAAAGATACAGGCTGAAGCAAGAATATTTTGATCCTTTTCCACTACATTTGGTTACAAAAACTTCTCTCAAATGCATGACTAATGAACAGTGGATTAAACTTTTAGAGTTATGGAAGAGTCCCAAAAAGATGGTATGTTTTCTCTGAAAAAACAGATTGTTGCCTTGTACATGCTAATTTATCACCAACCTTACATGTATTTTGTCTTTGATGTAGGAGACATGTCAAAAGAACAAAGACAATCGAGGGAATGTTAAGTACCATCATACAACTGGCTCCCATGCCTACATGGTTCATGTTGAAAATTTGGTAAGTGAACCATGTCCATTTGTGTTGCTGCACATATATAAATGGAAAATCTGTGTTGCTGTATAAATCTGGGCTACACATATATAAATGGCACTTGTTTGGCATTTGTAAATCTGTGCTGCTCATATATAAATCTCTGTTGCTATAGGAGAAATTATTCCTGTGTTGATGTAGTGAGCTTGTTATGACCGGCACCCATTATACAAGGCGTAGGCCCATGTTATGGCAAGTGGAGCCAGCCCAGGGGCCACGCGGTACTGTAGCACGTGGTACCGTAGCACGTGAAGATTAGATTGGTTTGGTTTGTTAGGAAAGAGATATGTTAGATTGATTCGGTTATGATATTTTCTTAGGGGTCAAGTCAGTCATCTCTGTAAAAAGAGAACCCTGTATCAGTTATAGTCAAGCAGAAACAAGAATTGTTTCCGGCTTCCTGAAGGGAGCCGGGATTTCCTAACCCTAGCCGCCTCCTGCTGTGTCTCGCGTGAACAGTGCCGCCGCTAATGTATTTCATCATATCCGTGACAAAAAAAATTTCATCATGTATTAACAGGATTCTTGTGGTGTAAATTTATCGAACAAGCAAAAGAGTAAGTAGTCGCACTATGGACATTTTAGTTCTTCCATCAATTCATGAAAAAACTACACAAGTCGTTTGCCACTCATTTAAAAAAGATTGAGCTCCACTAAAGAAGTTACTTGTTCAAATAAGGAGTTATTTGGATTCCCTCCTCTAAACTTTAGAGCTCTAAATTTTAGAGCTAAAGTCTTCAAACAGATGATCTAAAATTAGTTGTAAACTTTAGCCCACCTCACACTAAAGCTTTAGACCTTAAAAGTAAACTAAAGTGTTCTAAAGTTTTTAAAGCTCTAAACTCTAGAGGAGGGGATCCAAACAAGTCATAAGTCGTTTGCCATGTGGCTATCAAATGGGCCCTAAGATGGTTTACATATGTAGTAGCCTTCTGTTGATTGTTTTATATTTTGGTGACTACATATTTTTCTTTATTTTTGAAGATCTACTCCACCACTCCAACCAACTTCCGAACTTCGAACAATCGAACACATGAATTTGGCGCACATGGCTGGATCCACCTCCGCAGGGCAAAGGTCTGGAAAGGACTGCCAAACCAAAGATGCAGATAATCCTCCTATTTTTCGGTACTACTTCAACAGTACTTTCTCCATCCCTAAATGTATTTCGTCTTTGTTTGCCGAGAAACAACTTGGACTAAATATATATTAAAAAAATATTAATATTTACGATACATAATTAGTATCATTGAATAGATATTTGAATTTAGTTTTTTAATAAATTTATTTAGAGATAAAAATGCTGCACGTATTTTTTATAAATCGAATCAAAGTTATCGACACGCAAATCGTGGCGACTAACATTTAAGGACGAAGGAAATACTTTTCAGCAAACGAACATTATTTTCCTCTCACAACAAATCAACCTCAGCAACAGTCAAGTTTCATCCAAACAAACAGGCCAACGAAGCTATCGATACAGGATTCGAGTGTGACCTCCGTAGAGTGTGGATGACAAGTTGCATGACTCGATGCAAAGGGGTGAGCAAGGCTTGAAGTGATCGCACAAGGTTGTACGGGGTCGTTTTCTAATTTCTATACAAAAATTATAAAACAAAAACATATTGTCATATGCAAGTTTATAGAATTTGCTAAACAAGTATAGATATTTTACAATTATTATATGATAATTCCACACAATATTCATGATAATAATATCTAAATTTGGTTAGAAAATTCTACAAATTGGTATGACAACATATTTCAGGCCCATAAACTTTACATAAAAATTCAATTTATGATTTACAATATTCACAAATAGATACATCTCTCACATAATTTCATATAACTTCGTGAAAGATGTTGCCATTTGTAAGAGATGTGTATAGTAACGCTTTGTTAAAATCATTTGAAAGTTTATAATGGACAAATTGCACACTAAAAACATATTGTCATATAAGTTTGTAGAATTTGTTAACCAAATTTAGATATTATTACAATTATTTAATCTAGGTTGTCATGCAAAAACATGTTTGTACAATTTTCTAACCAAAATACATTGTCATGCAAGTTAGACAAACACACAAAAAATCATTTAAACTATAATTTTTTTTAAAGCTCGTATACAGTAACATTTTATATCAATTACTTTGGAGGTGTTTGGTTATTTAGTCACTCCTAAAATTAATGTCACATCGAAGGTTTAGATACTAATAAAGAGCATTAAATATAAATTAATTACAAAATCAATTACATAGATGGAGGCTAATTTGTGAGATGTTTTTTAAGCCTATTTAATCTATTATTAGCACATGTTTACTGTAGCACCACGTTGTCAAATCATGAACTAATTAGATTTAAAAGATTCGTCTCGTAAATTAATCGTAAGTTATATAATTAGTTTTGTAATTAATTTATATTTAATACTTTATACATGTATCTAAATATTCGATATGACAAGAATTTTAGACAGGCCTTTAAACCAGAGGGGAACCGGAGGTTTGGCCTTGAACCGGAGCAATAGGCGCTGTTTTCAGTTTACTGGGCTCTAGCCTGTTGCAGCGCACGTGATCCTGCAGCGGCTCGGCCCCCGCGCACGCACAGCAGCGTCACGTGTCGGCCGTCGGGTGCCGGCTGGCCGGGATCCTTTCCGCCGTGCGGGAGAGCGTCGCCGCGGCGGTGGCTTCCGGAAGTTGCAGCACGACTGCATCGAGAGCTTCCTCGACCTTTCCTCCTTGGGCTGCACCGTGGATTATTTTTCTTAGGCCAGTGTCCCAGACCTTATCGTCGTCTTGATCGGCTGGCTGGTTGCCGGCTGGCCAGGCCATTCATGAAATTATTGTTCACGTTCTGTCAAAACAATACTTTTCTCTCACAACAATCAGCCGGAACAGTATTTTTCAGTCCTGCCGAACAGGACGTGTGTCTTCCACAAAACCGCATATATATATATATATATATATATATATATATATATATATATATATATATATATATATATATATATATATATATATATATATATATAGTTAGTATATTTAGTAGTCAGCTACAAAATAAATTATTCTGTAGCCACCTCTATTTAAGATAATTATATATATTAATTTATGATAATGTCAATACATATTTACAATAATTATGTTACTATAACACATGGGAATATTTATCATGACATTATAGTAAATCACTTAGTAAGGAGTTACTATAATCATGTAAATTAGCATAATAATTATCGTAACTCAAAAGTGACTATAAAATAAGTTATTCTATAGCCAGATACAGAGTAATAGTTCTCTCTCTATATAAAATACTAGGGCAGCAACGCCCAGTCCATCCAACCAACAAGGATGTTGAAAAAATCGAAAGATTCAATCCATATATGCATATATGGACACTGAATATATGTATTTATATTCATTTTCTCTATTCAATTTTAGACCTGAGTTAAAAAAAATCAATATTATCCATATCGGTGATGTTGTATTTCTTAGCATCACTGTTATTAATGACACTTGTGACTTTGAAAGAATATATATATGAATAATTCTACAAACGCACAGATATACCATTGTAGTATTTCACCTGAGAGTATTCTAGGTATCGTTATTTATATTTTACCATAGAGAGAAGCGGTGGCTAGAGATATTGATAAACATGATACTTATGATGAGATCATTAACTAAACACTTACTCTAACAGGGGTAAGCCAAATAATATATAAGTGTAAGGCAATGATATAATCCAGAGATAGATTTAGATACTCATAAATGTAGTATAGCTAGACTAAGTGATAAAATAAGAGAAAGATTTCTAAGTCATTCCTATTTACCAAGCCTTTTGTACATCCCAACATATATACTTTTATTTATAGCATAATTAACTCTTCATCTACGCATAAGGAACATTACTAAGGAAATCAAGAACAGAGCTTGACTCCATTCGTAGTTAGGTCCTACTTGTTTTACAGACGGGGAGTGGACTACAAAGGACTCAATGAGAATGTCACACTCGCGATCTACCACACATGGCATGGAATGTAGGGTGCATCTACAGGTAAACAACATATAAGCACCACGCTTATATAATGTCGACCACTTAACTCACTCGAGTATTGAGCTAAGCGCTTTGCGAACTTATGCATAAACTTTGTATCAACTATGACTATATGAAGCATACTACCAAAGCAAACTAAGAACATAATAGATAGGAACATAATATAGTTTAAGCTTAAAGTCATAAATAAGAAAGGATACAATGGCTATACCAGCCTCTAGATGACGAATCCAGAATCCTGAGCTATAGCCTAACTCTACTTGAATCTTAGTAGCTAGCCTATACTAAAGCTTTGAGAAATTGGAGATCTATTCTATTTTCTCTGGTGGATCTTCTCGAATAATTATGGTAGCTCTGAAGATGAAGATCGATTATTTTGCCTCGGGGGTATGGGGTGCCTTATATAGGGGGAACCAGGAGTCCTATGGGCCCATGAATCCATGGCATCGTCAAATCTGCGCCCTCGAATCGAACCGACCTTGAGCAACGGTGTAGATTGAATCTCAAAGGCGGTGAGAAACTGACGTAGCGAGGAGGGGCTGACTGGTGGGCCCACTGGCCGGTAGGCCTACATGTGGGTGAAAGCCCTAGTTTGGTTTTGGATAATTGATGAAACCTTTGCTCTAACCTTTGTCATGAGTTATGATATGAGCTATGTTGGTGCAATCCAAGTGTGGAGCATGGTGGTACTCAAGAGAAGGTCATGATCACATGAAATGATGAGATGGCCACATGTGATGATGATCAAGTGCTCAACTTAGAAAAGAAGAAAGAGAAAAATAAAACCCAATGAAGATTAAGGCAAAGGTATAAATAGGGGTTTTTGTTTTGGTGATGAAGACACTAAGAGAGTGTGATCACATTTAGAATAGATGGTCGTACTATTAAGAGGGGTTCTTAACTAGACAATTCGGTCATCTAGAGCTGCTAGGTGTCAGACTTCATGCATTGCATTTAGGCCTAGTGCACATCGGAGAGCAAGCAAAAATATTTATCAAAAATGTTTTGAGAAATGCTAACTTGGCTCTAACATGTTTTGTGAAAACACTTTGAGAGTTAGCATCGCTTGCAAAGGAGAGTTAG